AAGGGCACCATCCGCACTGAACTGCAGACGTTTTTCCTTGTTATTACTCCCTAAACAATACACTGCAACTACTGACAAAGCGCTTACACTGGGGTCAGCCCACAGCCTAGAGGTCAAGGGAGCTGGATCCCACAGGGGCAGTCACGGGGCTTGAACACCTGCCCCAGCGGCTTGAAAAGCATACTGGCTGTGTGTGCCTGCCCCATCTCCTGACAGAGGGAGAAATGGAGGAGAAAGAGACTGCAGTGTCATCATACCTGGTGGTGGTGTGGGGGGTACCTCCTCCCTCTCCCTTTCTCCGTCCCTCTCTGACAAGTGCACACACCCTCTGGCAATGAGATAAAGCACTTGAATTGTATTAGATCTTCGAAGTCATCTAGAGATGATTTAAAGTGTATGGGAGGGTGTGCACAGGATACACACAGAACGACACCGTTTCAGACAAGGCGCTTGAGCAATCGCAGATTGTGACATCCACGAGGGACGAAGGGGGACACCAACTGGGTTTGTGGTCTTTGGGACCAGGCAGGCGTGTGGTCATGAAACCAGCTCCCACAGACGCCAAGACAAACAGACAAGGGGATTTGTAGAGGCAGGATCAGCAGATGGCGTAATGGTTACGTCGCTGGACTCCCACATAGTTGACCATGGTTCGAATCCCAGATCCAGTGGCTTAAAACTCACGCCGGGTGTACCTGTGTGTATGCCCCCAAAATCCTAAGAGGAAAATAAATAAGGGACTGAAGAATGTCTATCACTCTGGAGGGTGATTTCTCGCTTTGTCTCTCCGGCGAGTGCACACACCCTATAGCAAAAATCTCTCTTTAAAAAAAAGGGGGGGAGAGGGAACCAGCAGTTATCGTAATGGCTATGTCACTGGACTCCCACATAGTCGACCGCAGTTCGTGTCCCGGACCCAGTGGCTTAAAACTCACGCCGGACGCGTGTGCATGCGTGCCCAAGATCCCGAGAGGAGAATGGAGGAGAAGGGATTGCGGCGTGACCATCCCCCCTGGGGGGTGATTTCTCGCTTTCTGTCTCTATGTCTCTCTCTGTCTGTCTGGCGAGCGCACGCGCCCTACAGTGAAAATCTCTCCAAAAAAAAAAGGGGGGGGGATGGAATTAAAAGTTTATTTTTGAGACAAAAATGGTGAAAATCCATTTCTCATAATGAGCACTTTCCATGAACTCAATGAAGACACCACGTACACACACACACACACACACGTACACAAATACACAGAGGGAGAAGGAAGCGGCTATGAAGATAGACGTAAGATGCTGCCTACATAACCAGGTTGCATCAGGTTTCAAAGTTCTAGGACTTTGGGAAAGTCGTGATGTATTTTTCTATCAGCACTCAACACCAGACTTTTTTCTATGCAAAGAAGTGTCAGGACTTTCCAGACAACCCAATACTGTGAGTCTCCTGTTCAAAAAATATTCTTGCTGAGCATTATGTGCTAGATACTCTTCTAAGAACATATAAATGATTAAGGAAAAAAAATGATATTTGCACCAAGGAACTAACAAGCATTTGGGTGTGACAGATAATTACAATATTACAACTCAGAATCACACTTTCAAGAGAATTATATTGGGCCTTTAATAATACACAGCAGAACCCAGCCTGTGAATCCAGTTAGACAATCTCCCGCCCTGAGTCTTGAATAATAATCTACTAAGTACCAGGACGGGTCATGTCCAAGGAGGCATGCGAACCAGGAAACTCCAAGTTCTTAAACTCGGCTGAGCGCTGAATGTGAAGGGAGAGAAACAGCGAGCAACCCAGTTGCAGAAGACGTAAATGGAACAGACGACTCGATATGCCAGACTCGCAAACTGTTTTGAGCATGTGCTAGGTGCCAGGAGTTCTGCTAAGAGCTTTCATACATTATCTCATTTAAACCTCTAAATAACCCACTGAGGCAGAAATAATGATTCTGCGACTGACAGAAAAGGCAAGGAGAAATGAACTTGATGACGGCGCAGAGGTTTTAAGTGGCAGAGACAGAACTGGAATCCAGTTAGGATGAAATCTTACGTGGTAAGCTCGTAACCCTCCACTCTGCTGCCTCTCTTAATGAAGGCTGCTAGGGGGAGCCATTGAAAGGTTTTTAAACCAAGGAGTGATGTGATCAGATTTGCTCTTTAGAAAGACTGCTTTGCAAACTGTGGACTCCAGATGAAGGGGGTGAGTCTAGAAGCAGGAGGAGGCTCCATCTCTGTCTGCAGTAATCCAGGTAGGCATGTGTGCGTGAACTGTGGCCCCAAGGACCAAGGAGACAGCTTCAGAGCTGCACGCAGGACGGAAAACTTGAGAGTGCTGAAGGAGTACATGTAAAGGGTGAGTGAGAGGGAGGGATCCAGAATGCTGGCTTGGGAAACAGGATGGGATAAGATATCAAATACCAGGGGCCAGCAGGTAGTGGCTAGGGGCACCGAACTCCCACATGGCCGACCACGGTTCAAGTCCCAGACCTGGTAGCTTGTTTTCTCATTTGTCTCTCTCTCTCTCTCTAGCTCTGTCCCTCTCTGGCCAAATTAAGATAAATAAAGTTAAATAAAATAATTATTTTAAAAATTTTTTTAAAGATACCTACCAGAAATAAAGAATCAACAGGCTTCATCTATTCCCTAACTATCCAGCGTGCCCCCAAAATGGGATGGATGCTTAAGAGTCAATTCTGAACCGAGTCCTGGTTGTTAGAAAATATTCTTCAGAGCAAATGACATTACTGTTAGCAGATCTGGCCGAGAATCCAGTGAAAGCATGTTAAACTACCATTTCACTGCTACTACATGCAGAAAACACATGGAGAGAGGACAGGCATCCCATAATCTTACAATGTATTATTACATCAGAGTTTGACAGATCTTCAATCTTTTACACAACATCCGCTCTCTCTCACACACGCGCGTGCGCACACTCGCCACACTGTAATTTGTTTAACATGTCCCTGAGTTTATAGGGATAAAAAGATGTATCTATTTTATTACCTAAGCTATTATCCACATTTGGGGTTTTTTCCATCCTACTATCACTCCTGTGACTTGCCAAGAACATAGTTCGTAACCTCCTGCTAGACTTCCTATAAAATATGACCTAGTTCACGTTAGCTGAGTCCAGGGGCAATTCCTAGACCGTAGCCACGCCTCTTACCCGAGGACACTGCAGACCCTGCGGCACAGCCATACTGAGCAGATGTGGCATGTTACTACGATTCCCAAGTTAGGAAAGTGGCCCAGGGGAAGCAGAGTAACTTGGAAATACTCACAAAGCCACATGCCAAAAATAACAACTTTACTCAGTCCATGAGAAAAATGCTGCCCCTAGTTGAAATAACATGAAATTTGGTATTAGGAGAAAGCTCAATGCAATATAAAGATTTAAAACCAAGTTAAGTCCTAGATCTTATTTTTTTTAAATTACTGAACACCAGCATTAAGATCCGTAATAACTTTCGAACAAAACCATTTTTTCCCTAATGCCTTACCCATCCAGGGTGCCAAAGATTAGTTAATGAATTACATCTGCCAAGAGTGCTTCCCCCCCAAACCATAGTTTCTATCCTCACCTCCTAAAAGACAGTGATAAACATCTGTTGTTAAGGGCAATAAGGTAGCTTTTTAACAAACATAACTGCTTAAGATCCAAATAAAGCCCAGTAGGACAATCTGAAAATACTGCAAGCAAGCCTCTTCAAATTTTTCCCTGAAAATACACTCTTCACACGCCCATCTGCAATATACATGGATAATACCCTGAAAGCTCTAGTAACCAATAGCCCAAATGAAAGTTTCCCAGCCACCACGACACTGTACATTCCTAAATATGCTGCTGTCTGTCATAATTAAAGACGATTGTTTTATCTGCTCACAAAATATAGGTCTTAAGCCATTTAGAAACAAAAACGCAACTCGGATTGTAAATGCACTTTTATGATGTTTGTTGTGGTCATTCTTATCTGTATCAAGTCACAGTAAAATACCTGTATTTATTTCCACTTTGCTTACATTCCAAACCAATAAACTCAAGATACCACCGCAAATTGTCACAAAAACGTGTCCATCGTGAAACCATGGTTTTCCGTTCATTAAAATTCAAGCTAATTCTAATCGAATCCTTGTAGTAAGTCTAATTACAGCCTTCAAAAGAAAAAGAAAGACGTGAACTATTTTCCCATGTATCGACAGTCCTTACGCTGGGTCCTGTATATCCTCCATCGCTAGCATTTCGTGTGGAACTTTTGTAAGTGAAGAGATGCTCAAAATGATTGTATAGGTAACACAGCTTCTGAAAGTGTGATCAACCAGGAGAAAAAAAACACAGTCCTGCAAAACACACTCAGCACAGTCATCGTGGTAAATCTACTGTAATAGTTTTTATTCCGAGCACCACAAGAATTCAGGCCATTAAAATACACTGCATCCTCCCCCCCCCACACACACACACACACACCTCCAAGCTTTATATTACCATAACAATAAGAAGTTGGGACATGTTAATATTCCTTTAACGTTAGGAAATCCCTTTAAAATAACTTCACTCAAGGCTGTAACTAGTATATTTCAACGGCACGTGATTAACATATTCCACAAGACCCTAGAAGCGGTGTTCTCGGAGCAGAAACTGCACTCTTCAGCGCGTTCCTCTTGTCACCCCCAGGGGAGTGGGACAGAAGCGTGGTCTACCTACAGGGCAAAAGACTACGCAGGTGCACAGAACCACCAAGAAAACGTCAAACATGTGGACCAACTTCCCAAGCACACCGCCTGTTCTTTTCTTTAGGAAACCGGGCTCATTGATACCATCCACTTATCTAGGTTCGATGAGAGAAGGCTGAAATGCGTCATCCAAACATCCACAAGTGTTTAACACCAAGAGTCACTCGACTCCTCACTCAGACTCCAAATGCCTGTCCATTGTGGACAGCTCAAAGTATTCTCAAACACCAAGAGAGGGGGCAAACAGAACAGACAGAAAGAAGGAAAAATACCTGGCGTCGCCTCCTCGCCTCCTGCAATGTCCCCGGCCCATCCCAGGTGGCCCAGACGCAAAGCGCCGACGGCTGCCCTTGGCCTAGGCCTTCAGAAACACCCGGCGCGGGCCGGCGGGGAGGCGCGCGGCACCACCGGGAGACCAGATCCTTTTTCCAGGGCTACTGTTTCCAAGCAAAACAATCGCGGGCCCAGAGACCGGCGACGAACCCGCAGACACTTTCAGGCCGGCAGAGGCGGGCAGAGAGGGAAGGGGCTCCCGTCCTGCCGGGGAGAGGGTGCCGTCGGGGACACCCGCACCCCCGTGCATCCTTCGGTCCCACAGCACAGCCCAGAGTCTGTCTGCACTGCGAGGCTGCAGACGGAGTCCCCGGGGCTCAGACAGCTCGGCCGCGGTGGCGGATCGACCCAGCGAGGATGGGCAGGAAACGGGGTGCAGAGCCAGTGAGCCGGTGGAAGGGTAGACAAAGCCCCTGGGGGGACCCGACCCAGCAGAAAGGTGAGAGGGGAAACAAGCCGGAAAGACAATGGGGGAAAGAACGAGTCCGCCGCGATCTGCTGGCCGGGCTGTGCAGGTCACCCGGCTGCGGGGCACAGACGGGCACAACAAAAGGGCCCCCGAGGGATGGAGCCGGGCCGCGGGGCGACTGTCGGACAAAGCGCCCGAGGCGGCGGAACAAAGGGCCGGGGGTGGCGAGTCGCGG